GCATTTTGTAAATACATAAGGTTATTTAATACAGAGATAATCAGATGTGCAAATATTATTGGCTATAAAGGAAGTTATAACAAACAAAGGCATATTGAATAAGACCATATAGATGTTAATCACTGAATAAAACTACGAATGGTAATAATAACAACGATAATAACTACCTTTATTATTGCAGAATGAAATAAAGAAGATAGTTTTTCACCAGTGCCTTATTATTCTGCAAAAACACAGGTACTGTGAACAACTGTTAAGTATTTTTAAGACAGGAAAAACAATGAGTAATATAAAGTCAATTAACAAAGAATACATATATCTGTCTTCTGGAATTATGAGAGCTGATGGAAGAAAAGTTGGATATGTTGACTGGTGGTAATGTTATGCATCTTCACTTTATGTACACAGTTCTCCGTGTTAACAAACACATGGATGGATTGATCTAGTTCACAGAGATTTAGGGGAAACTACTAAGATGGAAGTTATAAGATGAAAACAGACAAAACAAAGGAGAGAAATGAATCAAATAGTACTATAAACATTAATGATTCGGTATCGAATAATTGCCTGAATACTTTTTATCGAGATAAGATATTTCTTTTCGAACGCTGAAGAGTGATCAGTTGATCTTTAGCTTTGTCCACTGCTATATCAGTGAACTGATCTCGAAATTCATTGATTACACGATTGATCTTGGCATTATGCGGAAAACTGTGGAGTCTAATAATAAAAGACAAAGAAATAAGGTAAAATATGAAATTTTTTCATCAGAAACCATATAAATGCTAATTCGGACTATCAGGTTTCAGGGGATTTCATTCGTAAGGTGGTATTCATCATGGAGTGACTACTTGGAGAACTGCCGAAAACCTGAGAGTACTGGATAGCTGTTTCGTCCTAAACAGGACTCCTTAGAAGTACGCACCCACGACCTTACGTTCACCACGAGATCTATATATGTATATATATATGTACCTTAGGTTATTACGATACTTTTCATTACAATGCGAAACCAGATGGGTAAACATTGAAAACTTGGTACAGTTGAACAATTGTTTCTTTTTATTTTGGAATCCTTAACGTTTTAAATCCTTGGACTAACCATCTATTAAATACAAGACCAAGATGATCCCGTTATCATTTGTACACTGGTTTGAATCTAGCTTTTTAGAGCCCATCTGTGATATCAATCAAAATTATCAAATAGGATCTTTCTGTATTCCTAATTAATTGAACCAAGCTGGTAACATGTTCATCTAATAATAGTATTAGGAGATTTATCTGGAAGTTGATCACATGTAAGTATGGAAATATTTTAGTTGCTTAAAATGAACAGTAACTTGAGTTTGTGTAGATAAGACTAATGGAGACACCATTGTGTTTCACGATTCTATAACTGTAGTACCAGTATGAAGAAACATTATTAGTAGTTAAGAATAGCTTGTCGAATTCTTAATCATCTGTTTGTAAGGTGTCGTAACATAAAGCTAAGCATCAAACTGTTATGTTGCATAGCGTAACAACATAATTATAAACCAGTGTACATTATGAAAGTGGCTAAGTTGTATACTTACGTTCTGACCATAATTTTGTTGTTTCATTTTAATACAGTGTTCAAAGGTGAAAACCTCAAATTCCATCTAGTGTGAACAGCCAGTCAAAAATGAAATTGTTGTCTCAAGTAGTATTCATCACATAAGTTACATAAACATTGAAAATGTATGGGCACTGGATAGTTTCTACATCTCAGTAGTGCACATCCGTGACTAAGGAACGAACCACAAACTTTCAGATTCGGTGGTCAGCATGTAGCCTCTGAGTCACTGAGTCGAGATCTAATGGTCCATAATTTCCTATTTCTTTTGGTTGACAGAATAGTTAAGATGTTCCATACGAAGCACCTGTCCAATGATCTCAGTTTTTTAGAGGTTCTTCAACTGATGTCATTCCATGATGAAATCAGTAAACCCTAATAGACCTCCAAACTAAAATCATCTTTTGCAAAAGCTTTTCAGGTAATGATAAACTTAACGATCATGAAAATAACAAAGTATTAGATTTTCTATAAGAGAAGACACTGGTAGATGCTAATGTGTAGTTATGGCTAAAGTTAATAAATAAAAGTGTTCACCAGTCTGTGCATTTTTCTTTCATTGGTTTACCTTAAGAATAATTAACAGCATTGACAATGCAAAATAGGTTTTCCTAAATTTATACGCAATGTGTGTGAAAGTTGCATAGTTGTTGGTGAACCGAACAAAATATGCTAATAATTTGGCACTTAAAAGTTGTGTTACGTTTTTGTGATCATATCGTGTCTGACTGAACTTGAAATAAACCCTGAATTCTCACACTGAGTTATTGTATACTGAATATTGCCTGTTTCCTATATTTCTGTGACAAAGCTCCCAGTAAGTGTCAACTAGAAGCATACAGTTGGAACTTGTGAAGGCATTTTTGACTACAATGTGCAGAATATTGAGACACTAAGTTAATTCAGTTGATTTTAGGATTACATGTGAATAAAAGTGGATAGGTTCCTGAATTCAGTTTTACGCGACTTCATTGTTTTCACAGTACTTATCATACATTAGTTAGTTGTTTTATGATTATAACAATCAATCATGAACGTCGAATACAATATGACAGTGATCTACTAGTTGATGTCATCGACTTTTGGAGGTGACTTTGTGCTATTATAATATAAATATGAGGTTTATGGGGGTCACAAGTGCGCAGCGCTAAGGAGTGTCATACTGAGACGGAACAGCTTTCCACTACTGTCTGGTTTCCAAAGGTTCTCTAACTGATGTCAGTCCTCGATGATGACCAACTTGAAAAAACTAAATTATTAGGCTGCAATACTACTGTCTCTGATACATCATCTTTGTAATGTTTGCTAAATCATTTGTGAAAGTTGAGTTTCCTATGTAAGAGATATTTAGAATAAGCGTAGCATTTTGAAACACTTCAAAAAAACAAGCGAATGTTATAGTCAATTTAATGCAGAATAAGGCTGACACATAAACCATAGTGGATTAATATTTTACTTAACTAATTGTACATGCGATTTGAGAAAGTTAACGTTTTGAAGTGCTACCATCATAATACGATCTTTAAATAAAATATTTAAACTTAATTTAATAGGTTCTCTCCATTTCATACAATCCTTCAAAATTCTAAAATAAGCGAGATGAGTCTGAAGTAGCATAATATAAAAAAAATTATTCCATAAAAGTTTGGACAAAAAGTAGTAAATTTTGAAGATTGATCATTCTATATGATGTGTTGTTGACTAATTTCCTTAATTGTGTCACTGTCTGCACATGTTGATAGTGAAAATAATCTACAAATTTTTTGTTTTCTTTAATATACGTGTAAAACTTGGGCACTGTTGTAGAATTTAATTCCATATCAGATTTGTTTATTTCGTCTATATAACAGACACCGTGATACAGTATTATTTACTCGATGACGTTTCGAGCATAAATTGTCACTACTCAAAATAAATCAGTGTAATCACATCACTTCCGACATTCGATTTTTATAGTCCAGTCAACTCGTATGAGTTGTTTTTATTGGTAGTAAAATTTTCCATATCTGTGGTATAGGTGTGGTGTCCTTTCTATCACATGTGTTTGGTGTGTGTTGATTCGATGAAGAAGGATTCAGTAATCAATCTCTCTCATCCTTTACTTAATTGTATTAGACCTGGGTACAGTAGTTTTTGGTAAACATTCAGCAAATTACGATAGCTTCATTTCTGGATCTTCCTTACAAGAGTGTAATAAATTAACTAATAGTTATCAGGAATGTTTATTTGTATATGGAAACAAACATTGTGTATCTTATCACCTGTAACCGTTCTACTGTCAACATATCATCAATATTTTATATATAGTTTGACATCATCTTAACTTAATCTTGCCACTAGATGGTTGTTTGATATTCATCGAAACTTCAAAGGAGTCATTGCTGCTTCATATATCTGGACTTTTGTAGCACAGTGTCATAATGAATTCATCATCGTTAAACTATCTACACCGTAATCTGATTCTTGTTAGACTGTGTTAACCACAATGATTATTTGCTAACGCATATTTTATCCAAATCACAATACATTCCCTCTATTTATTGAATTTTGCAGCAACTTATGAAGTTTGAGTTGATTTTCCAACGCTACATAGCTTGGATCTTCTCCAATCGACCGTCCATGTTCTTGTGTATTTTGCTAACAATACTGTCTGGTTTGCTTATCTAAGTAGTGTCATTCCAGTGAGCAATTAAAAGTGGAATATTTAATAAAATGGATCCAAAAACATTTTTAGACACTCAGTTCATTTTATAGTTGGAAATTTTAACAGAATTTACTGAAAAACCTTTATTTGAATAAAATTTTAATTTAATTTAAACAGACTGAATAGATTTCTCATTTTTCAAGGAGTATGATATTTTCTCAGAGGGTTAGAGAACAAGAGATACAGTCAAATAGTCACTTCTTCCAGACTTCAGGCTCTTCAAAAGTTACACTCTAGAAGTGATCTTATTATCTAACTTGTTACCTTCACATCTTATGGTGAACAGTGAGTAGAAATGTAGATGCTAGCATGGTAAACCTTGAAATGTATTTTAGTTATCATTTATTATCCCCTATAGGGAGTGTATCTCTACAGGTGATTTGGTTAGTCTCAGAGACACTTGGTTTCCAACTAGAAGCAAAATACACTTTTGTTTGATTTGTTCAGAAGTGATTACGTTTAGAAATGTGTTCATCCGTCTTATGACATCAGTTTTCAAGGAATACTGTCTAAATATTATTACACAGCGGTTTTATAACTTACATTCAGAAGATCCTTCTTTTCTTTTGATAAAATAACCAAGTACCATATAATGCTTCCAGCACCTCCAAACATTGATCAAGTCGAATGTATTTGAAGTGGGCGACGCAGACATGAGTCTAAGTGGCTTGATTGTCTGATCATTGGAGTCATCCTCTTTTTTCACTGATTCATTTTCATAATTTGACGATCATTTTTAGATAGTGTTGTCGTTGGTGATTTTGGCAGATGAATTGGATTACCAATATGTAAATGAATGAGTTGTTGAAATATTAAGCCTAAATAAGGCAGACATGGTAGAGGAGATGCTTCCAAGTCACGCCGATATTCTCCAAAATTTGGAGGCTTCATATACGATGAAAATGCAGTGACTGACTAAAGTTGAAAATAAGAAAATAAAGAATAAGAAAATCCAAAGTTAATATATATATTTGGGTAGAAAAAAATTATTTATCAGTGAATAACACCACCTGGTAAGTTATAAGTTGAAAAAGATAGCTGTACCGCATCTATGTGCAATAGTGTAAGAAGTTTTTGAAATTTCATCATCATTAAACTGTTACTGCGCCTAATAAGTTGATAATAATAGCAAGTTAATAAGTTAATCAACACTTTTGTTCAAGCAGTTTGACATATTTTAATCAGTTTTCACAAAGTATAAGTGATTGGATTAATCTAGACATTGTGATGAACGTTTCTAGCTCATGTTATAGATAGCTTGATAGTCAGTTTCACTCTTGAAGCTAAAGACTTGTCAGAAAAATATTTTTGACACTGATTCAAGTGATACTCGTCGCAGAGATTTTCAAACGAATTGATTTCGCCTATACAACAGCGATTAAAAGTAAATATTAGATTTATTTTAGGGGAAATTCTGACAATGAGATTGTCTGTATTGCTGACAAAATTTACATAATAAAATATTAGATATTATTCGAATCATATTGAAAAACAGAACTACACCGAACAAGAATAAAATTATGCGTATTCTAAATTTTATATATGATGATCGTATTCATAACTTTGTATGTTTTTTGTGTTTGAAAGTGGCTAGAATGGGGTTTGGGTGACGTTTTTTTCTAGTAGTCAAATTTTCTCAAAGGTAACCGAAGTATAACATATATCTATCAAAATGAAAGACCTTCCGATAGGTTGGTAAGTTAAAACAGCTACCTAGTGTTCGAAAAAATTTTCTTTTTTAATGGAGTTTATAATTTTTAATGTTGTTTATAAAGTTATTGCTGACACATGGTATATCTGTACAGATGTTTAAATGACATCAACGATCGAATAAAAGTAGACAGCCAAAAAACGTTTCGGACAAGTTAAGAGTAATTAATGTATGACTGTCAAGATCCATAGACAGAACATTCTTTGCAGCTAATCTTAGAATCACATTTTCCTGTCAGAAACTCATTCATCAGCACGCGTCAGTGTGCGTACATAAATTTACTTGCTCCTGTACAGCTGAGTACATCGGCCAAACTATGCGCCAACTTCGGCAACGTGCTCGTGAACAGTACCCAACTTGGCTAACAATGGTAGAACGGAATGTGTCATCAGCTCTGTACCAGAATACTTGATTAACTCACAACACCTGGGTACGTTTGATAAATCCTTCAAAAGTCTTTACACAGTGTGACCAAGCCACTCAAAAAGAGTGGGACTAAGACACCCAGGCATAGCTGTAGCATTAGTGATTCAAAAGTTTAAACCACCACCAGATATAACCTCTTTCTCTGGCATGGTCATCGAAGACTATCGATCACTCCTGACAATTCACATATGACGTAACTATTCACATTTTGTAGCAGTTTTGTTTATTTCTCCATTACATGTCCTTTCTTTGTAACAAAATATATATTGGCCTTTGACCAGGAATAACTCTGTAATGCTATATCCTTTTTACTGTATATTCAGAAGTGTACAGAGAATGACTTCCTCAAAAGGAAAAGTTTCTTCACTGCAATCGCCTTGTGTGTTTTCCTATCTTCAAACAGGTTTACTCCGATACATAAATACCTCTTCCTGGGAAAAGGCAAAAACGTTGGCTGGAGCGAAGGAAACGTTTTAGTTACGATAAAGTAATTTAATAATCTGCACAGTCCTGAATGTGTATTAAAAAGCACAGAACATCCCAGGAATATTTCCCGTCATGGGTCAAAATATATTGAAAAATCAGAGGAAGTTATGCAGTCTTAATGACTATTTAGAGTTGTTCAATATACTTCAATATATTCTGACACTGTCCAAAAATACTTCTGAAATTTTCTACACTTTGTACTAGGTATTCTTGAATGTACAGAATGGTAAGTAACTCCGTCGAAAACATTTTATTATCCACTGTAACAGACTTTTCATCATTTCCGACTAACAAATATCTGTTCATCAGTAACTAAGAAATCAAATAATTTTATGAAGCTTCAATTCCAACCATTCCCGCAGAGCAGTGCAATTTGTCGCAACTAAATAAGATGGAAGTACTTAAAACGAACTGGTAAGTAATGACTGACATTGCTAATGTGTTAATACATGTCCACTGACAAATTTGTCGACAAACACTTGGTGTCAACCCCACCTGGTTAACTAGTTCACTAGTTACTAGCCGGTCATAAGACCACATAAAGAGGGAAGGTTGCGCATACGGCTAGCAACCCTACACCGGAAAACAAATCTAACCACTAAACAAACTTCAAAACACAAACAAAATTTGAAAAATTGTAACAAAATTATTCCTCGCTCGAATCGGAGAGGTGAAATGACGCCGGCTGGTGAAAGCCTTCAGGAATCCAATTAGCCGATATGTCTTCTCTTTCTCGATGAAAGCGAAAGTAAACGTGGGGATATGGAACGTCCACACGATGTTTGAACCCAGCAAGGCAGCCCAGATTGCAAACGAGATGAAGAGGTATCACATTAAAGTGTTAGGAATTTGCGAAAGCAGACGGAATAGGAGTGGACTCTCCAAACTGTCAACTGGAGAGGAGTCAATAATCTACACCGATATTCTCATTCAGACAACACTCACAAGCACACTGAGTTTTGGAGTGGCTATCATGATGTCTTCAACAGCATCGAAGGCCCTCATGCAGTGGGTACCAATCTCCTCCTGTAGGATCATGGCAGCAAGATTCAACTCAAAATGAAGGAAGTTCACAATCATACAATGATACGCACCCACAAATAAGGCAGATGAAGAGAAGAAGGAGGAATTCTACAGACAACTGCAATCAACACTGGACAAGACCACAGTTGGTGACATCAAAATTATGATGGGTGACATGAATGCCAAACGTGGAGCAGACAACACAGGAAGAGAACTAACCATGTGTCGAGAAGCGCTCGGTGAGGTGATGAACGAGAATGGAGAATTGCTTGCAGAATTTTGTGCATTCAAAGATTTGGTGATTGAAGTCAGGCAGTGTGTTCAAGCACAAGGATATCCACAAAGCGAGCGACATGGATTTCACCAGACACACTAAAAATCAGATTGACTTTATCTCAATCTCAAGAAAGTGGAGACACAGTCTACTTCACACAAGGTCAAGAAGAGGAGCAGATGTAAGTTCACACCACTCAATGTCTAGTGCAAGGAACCTTCCAAATGAAGTTAAAAGCCTCCAAGAAAGCTGGTGATAGACCACAGTTCAAGTGAAACACTCGGAAACTGAAGGATGAAACTACAAAGGAAATCTTCACGGCCGCCAGCCATCAAGACAAAATGGGAGACAGCGAGGAACATCCCTGAAGAAACCTGTGTGGAAGAACACTGGAAGTCTTTGAAAGAGATGTGGAAAGAAACCTGCACAGCCGTATTAGGAAGGAAGAAGAAAGAAGACAAGACATGGATCTCGATGGATACCTGGAAGCTGATAGAGGAGGGAGAGGAGGATGGTGAAGCAGAAGATAAACTAGTGCAGTGCAAGGATGCTCAACGACAAGAGGAACTGAGCACAATGTATAAAACATTACACTGGACAAAGAAAGAAGTGGAGAAGAGTGCACGGAAAGACAAAAGACACTTCTACGAAACACTGGCAAGTGAAGCAGAACAGGCTGCAGGTAAGAGAGATAGAAATCTGACAACATTGTATCAAATAACCAGGTTACTATCTGAGAGGGAAGAGATCAACACAGATGAAACCAATAAAAGATGATGAATGAAATTTAATTACGAAAGAAGAGAAACAGAGGAAACAATGGGCTGACCACTTCAAAAAGCTCTTGAATCGACCACCACCACCACCACCACCACCATCTGCACTTCGTCCAGAAATACCACCTGCAGCCTAGCCATAGAACTACAAGTGAACACAAATCCTCAAACAAAAATGGAAGTCCTGAACACTATAAAGCTACTGAAATGTGAGAAAGCAGCAGGACCAGATGGGATCCCGCCAGAACCACTGAAAACAGACGCAGAGACAACAGCGGACATGATCACACCACTATTGGAGATGGTGTGGAAGGAAGAGAAGGTATCTGGCCACTGATTGGAAGAAGGGTTACTTTGCCAAACTGCCGAAGAAGGGATACCTGTGTTTGCAAAAACTGGCACGGAATCATGCCCCACTTCTGCCCACTCAGAGAAAGCAAAATATTAAGCCGCATCATCCTGGAGAGACTAAAGGATGCACTGGATTCAAAACTACGACCGGAACAGGCAGGCTGGTTAGGAAGTACAAATCATGTGCGGACCAAATTGCAACGCTACACTATGCATCATCATAGAACAGAGTATAGAATGACAATCCAGTCAACCCTCTACCTCAACTTCACCGACTTTGAGAAGGCCTTTGACAGCGTCGACCGAGAAGTAATTTGGAAACTGCTTCAATACTACTGATTACCGCAAACCTTTATCAGCCTCATTCAACAACAGCTATATGAAGACGCCACATGCCAGCCAAGTACTTCACAATGGGAAACTCAGTGATACTTTTGAAGTGAAGACAGAGTTAAACGAGGTTGCCTACTATCACCCATGATACTCCTGATAGTGGTTGAGTGGACTGTATCATGCAGCAAACAGTGGGGAGCGAAGAGAGGGGGATATGCTGGCTGGACTGGGAAAAGAACCTAGAAGATCTGGATTTCGCCGATGACCTATGTCTAATGCCACACAAACTTGATGATCTACAGGCGAAAACTAACAAGTTGACAGAAGAGGCAGGGCAGGGCAGTGCAGTGGAGACAGGACTTCAAGTGAATATAAAGAAGACAGAAGTGATGAAGATACCGCACTAACAACTCCAACAACAACAAAAAACTCCATTCACCATCAACGGTAGTAACTTAAAGGAAGTAGCCTCTTTCGCCTATCTAGGCGGCACTGTTTCAACCACAGGCAACACAGACGAGGATGTCAAGGTCAGAATCGGAAAGACAGCAAGACAGGCCTTCGTTCATTAGCCTGAAACCAGTGTGGAGATCTTCTGTACTCAGCATGTGGAACAAGATGTGGATTTTCAACACAAACGTCAAGTCGGTACTTTTATGTGACAGTTGAGAGACCTGGCGCGTTACGAAGGGGATTTCCAACACACTACAGATATTCATCAACAACTGCTTACGTCCACTCGCTACTAAAGATCAGAAGGATTGCCAGAAAGAATAAGCAACAAGGAGCTCTGGGAACGAACCAAACAAGAACCTATCGCTGAACAAATATGCAGAAGGAAGTGGAGATGGACTGGATTTGTCATGCACTGAGAAGCCCGACTGGGGACATTACGCGTCAGGCTAGCCCCTCGAGTGGAACCTCGATGTGAAAGGACGAGTTGGACGTCGGTGCCGAGAGTGACATGGAGGAGATCGTGTGAGGAAGAAATGAGAGCTTGTGGGCAGTCGTGGAGCCAGGTTCAAAGGCTTTCAGAGAAGAGAGTGGAATGGAGACGTGCTACTGAAGCCCTATGTTCCATTTGGAACCCAAGGGACAAAAAAATAATAATAATAAACACTTTGTGTCATACATGAAGTGAAAAACGTAGTCCGTTTCTCATTTATTCTTTAATTAAAAATTGTCCAGTTGGCACATGCATCACACAATCATAATCATAAGAAACATGTGTAGCTTAAGATTGTCTTTAACGATGTCAGATTCTGTGACCTCAATGGTTTAGTTTTAAGCTTTCGGTATCATTCTGAACAGCGTACACTTGGAAACAAATAAGCAGTTAAAAGTTACACTGATAGGTCACTAGTCACTGACCAGTTTTTCGGCCCAGTCTTGAGTGTTCACGTCTGTCTGAAGTCTATCAACCAGGCGTGCCGTATTATGATGCTGGATATTAGAAATCGATTGATGGAAAGCCATAGATCCGGTTTTCTTGCATCTTGGCAGTGTTGCACAACTCAGCTTAGTGGCAAAACTGAAAAGTTGATAGATAAATTTTGGTGAGATCTGAACACTTAGCTCTAGATAGCTGTATTGGTTTATCAGTGTTAGTTTAGTCCTACGAGGCGTCAGTCTCGATCTGAATAGCTTAGCGGAAAAGTTTAATATTTCAGCGCAGAGTAATGCAGGTTCGGTTCATAAAAGCAAACCCCTTTCCAACAAGCTACTTTGCTAATGAATGTTAAAAAGCATGAGACCCAGGTCATGCAGGGCTTCCTGTCGTTTTGTTTTTACCTGTTTGGGATTCCCACATTTTCTCAACTGAATTCATTTTCACGGTTAACCTAATGCATTAATGTGTGTGCAAATGCATTAGGACGCCTATGAGCTAACTAATATTCACGTGAGCAAGGCTTTAAATGCTTACTAGTTCATTCAGTGATGTGGTAGTAACTGGAAATTAATTCGCTTGCTTGTTCATCCTCACTTGTCATCGCATTTTCAGTTTTACCAGTAATAAATCGGATTGGATTCTTGAAGTGATAATGCTTACCAAAACATTGGAAAATTTAAGTTTATTGTTTAATTCCGCTCCTGTTGTGAAATTTGTGTCATCGAAAGCCCCATCAATCAGTTGCTTAGATATATCTAATAAGTTTTGCTTGGTGAAAACCAATAAATCGTTTGGTGTGTATCCTGTGCTAAATAGAAAAGGTGGCATTTCTTCACATCAGAGGTATGTCTTATACAGTCTGGACTGAAGATTTTCGATGCCTACACATCTAAACAAGTGACTTCACTCTATCTGTTTGGATACTTGTCTAGAAGACTGAACCAATTCTGACTCTACTCAACGAACAGCATTATATCTCATCTATTTTTGTCATTTTGACATCATGAAGGCGAAGGTATCAGCAGTTCTCATAATGCATACCAAACTGTTCATAGGCAGTCAGTTAGCTGTAATATACTTCAACTAGAGTGGTATTTTCGGTGCACGGAGATGATTGATGGTAGAATAAAAACCTGACTCAGAACAGGATTCCAACCAGTGGCTGACGAGTAACCAGCCCAGTGACCTGTCAGCTAGACTGAGAAACCCATCTACTGACAAGATTTTAGTGTCGCTTTGGTCTCGCTGAAGGTATTTTTCCAGATTCACGTAGTAGTTATCCATTTAATTCAAACAATGATGGAAATTCAGAGAAAATGGGAGTACATTTAGACGATTAGATACGGGGTCCTACTCAGTAATAATAATAATAATAACAATAATAGCTTTATTCCAAACAAAGTGATTACTGCATTTGAATAAAGTTAATAAAAACAGTACTAGAGGGAACAATGTGAAGCAGCTGCTGCTTGTTGGATTAGCTTCTGGTGTTCAGTGGTGGTGTTTTATTCTGCCAATAGAGGACGTGCTATTTGAGATTGGTATCGGAGAAGTGGAAATATGATGCATTTTTGTGCATTCAGAAGTCTATTCCCGTCGAACATAATAATTTCCCTTCTTTCTGTTATCAGTTCGAAAAATGGTTAGTGTAGAAAATTTTATAAATTCATAAGAGCACGGGAAACATTTAGAGGACACATTTTAGAGATTATAACATATTTAAAGAGAAGAATCCGATGAAATATATCTGATTGCAAATTGTATTGGTGGCCCAAACTTCATGCAGGCCACTGGATATAAATGGTTGTAATTACTTATTAAAGTTATCCTTGATGAAAGCTCATATACCATACATTTTATGCTTGTACTCACTTGTTTTGACTTTTTGGACAGAAGACATTCAGGTACCTCTTGGATTGCCAACAATAATGCAAGGAATGAACTGAAATTATGAAGTTGTTTGAGATGCTAAGATTAAAAGAAAAGCATGAAAAAATGATAAATTAGAAGGAATGAAACACTTTCGTAAACAATTTTACATTTAAATTTGTGTGGATCACACTACTTTATTTTGACTTTTGGTTGCGATAATGAGAGAGAATCCCAGCTCAGGTATTTTTTAGGATCACATTTAACGTGCAGGATTAGAATGGTATTCTGACATAGGTTCACTTTGATCCCGGGCCAACAGCTTACTAAAATCCCAAATTATTACGCATGATTCGAAGAGAAGATTGTTCACTAAGACGGGCAGTTTACAGAAAGCTCTTGGGGACAATATCTGAATTCGACAGTTTATACGATCCATTATAAGTGAGATTTAATGATATCCTTGTTCAATAAAATCTATCTTATTTATACATCAGATATGATGAGTGAAAATATTGAATTGCTGACCAAAAGACTTTTGAAAACGGATACCCGCTGAAGATTATAAGCTGCTGTTGGTGTCAGCTAATACCAAACCCAACTCCATACGTGAATTCCTAAGAAAAGTATCCATATAACTGTGGTATACAAAAAACAGTTGAGAATTAGACTAACATCAGCTATCAGGAAAACATTATGGAGGTAAGCTTATCACTGAAGAAAAGACAAAGACATGGAGTGACTTAAAAGGGCACCCTAACAACTGCTGAAATAACCAATAAGATTTAGCAGTTTTGGCTGGGGAGGTAGATTTCATAGTACTGATAAAAGCAGTTGGCTAACTCGACAGTTGTTAAGATGGTCTTTAAAGTTACTCAACAAATGCTTCACCACAAACCTATACACTGAGTACATAATTGTGTCATATCCTACTGTGTTTATTAGTTGACTCGTGTATGTAATCACATCTATATAGAGAGGAGTAATCGGACCATTTTGTTGACGGTTAGAGAAGACATTAGCAAACGGCCTCAGAAGCACTATGGAGTATGAAGCTTTGGTAAGCGCAGGTGACAGACATTCCTTTTCGTCTACGGTCAGGAAATTATTGTTCAAACATCTTTCGAAACTTTCAAAGGCATGGATACTGAGATTTGCAGTAGCGATAGCCATATGCACATTTAAACCCGCCAATGTGTGTGCACTACACCTACCTTGGTATATTTTATTTTCTTTGCAAGATTTGCATCGAAAATATTACTTTTCCTCTTCGTTCTCATCTTTCTTAATTTAAATTCCCTATTATCTTAATTGTTCTCTTTGTCCTCTCATTCTTCGATCTTATATAAATTGACTTGACAAGGAAATGTGGAATCCGATTGCTTGGAATATATTACGCGAATACATTCAAACGAATGTTGCCTTCTGATTACAAAATCTGAATTTTTACAGGTTTATTCCTGAATGATTATTGATTTTTGATAATTAAAGGGAGTGGAGGATTAGGATAAAGTATAAAAATATTTGGTTAACTTTCAAGCAGAACTGGTACATTGTTATATTGATTATTATTTGATTCGCCAGAGGCGATATTAAATGAAACAATTTCAGTTACTGAATGATATTTCATCCATCATTAGCCATCAACAGATCCATCAAGGTAGTTACATAATACTGAAACGTATTCAGAAAATAGCACAAAGAAACGCATGGGACTATAACCATGAAAATAAGGTACTAAATTTTTGGCATTACTCTTGTAAATGACGATGTACAATACATTTTCTGTGAAGTGTTGTTCAGTAAACAACAATATTTAGCCGTAAAACACTTGGTAGCACCGAAAAAAAATGTGAAGTCGAATTCATCAGTATTTTACTTCAATTCACTTTATAGGTTTGTGAAGATTTTACTGATTTCTAGTACTGTATCACACAAATGAAATGAAAATAATATCAAAACTTATGGTAAAAAAAGCTCAGAAATAAATGTACAAAAGCGTGCAAATTCTGCAGAGAGATAAACGTGGGAACCAAAATATATGCAAGTATAGTTATTACTACTTTTGTCATATAGCCTATCCACTAAAGCATTTTCAATATCACTTGGACACTATGCTTAGGCGTACTTTAGTCTGAAGTAGCCGAATTGTACTGGCTTGGAGATTTCCCCCAACTTATAAGTTACAAGTTTGAAACTGCTTTAACATCCACAACACTTTGACATACGACAATGGACAGTGATCACTGATATTGCTATTCTCAGACCAGTGAAAGATATACCAGACAGAACTCGGAAGACGAGAAGGGGAAGAAGGGGAAAACTAGCTGATAAAACAGTTGTTTATGTACGTATCTTACAAGGGGTAATGATTGCTAAGCTTATTATAGAAAAACTGTCTTCTCTGGCAGTGGGTAGGAATGGATCGATAAAGTGAGAAGGAGTCTACTTTTGATCAAGGTTGAGGACGACTAATCAGGACACGTTATACATGGAAAACACTGATCAGTAATCTGTCTGTCTGCCCGTTCTAACTGCCAAAACATTAAATAGACTTAGGTTGCTCTTATTTAACCGTAAGACAATTTTTGGCCCAAGCTTTATTTCAGTCTACGGAGCAAGTGGTCTAAATTTGACTATGAAAGTGTGTAAAACGAGCATTGGCCTTTCGATTGCCCAACAATTGACAAGAATGTACTTCTCAAAAGATGAGCAGTACTTTGAAAATACTTTTGTTGTGTCTAGGTAAGTTTAGAAATGTCATCCATTAATTTTACCATCATATCAGTAGTTTATCCTCTAGAAACTTAACAAGACTAATGTAATATCTAAGGAAAAACGGTTCTGGTTATTATATTCACTTACTTCGGTGTCAGTCAGTGAGCTAACATGAATGTAAATTAGTTCTAATACACCTTCAAGATGTAGCTTACACATTATAACCGTCTCAATCGATATTTAAAGCAGTCTGCTGCGTCTAGCGTTTAAACTAAAGGAAATTATATAATTGCTGATGATTCCTTAGACAGTTGAAGATAGTATAGCTATAACAATGTATAATTGCGATCCTGTAGACTTCAGGATCAATATCTGACCTGACAGAAATGATGAGTAAGTTGAGCATTGGTTAAATGGATTATAAAGGAACATTATATTTGTAAAGTCCCTATGAGGTAGAAAAGTTAACATCTCACGTTTCGTGACCTAGTGGAAGTCTCTTCTCCAGAAAATAAAACTTGTACACATTAACTCATGCGTAGATAGTAAATACAGACAAATGGAGATACATCATGTTCTTCATGCGTGATAATAATATGGAACTAGATGTTGTTGCTATCATTCATTAATTCATGAGTTCAAGGTGAAAATGTGGATGGGTGTAAGCGTGACAGAAGGGAAATAAGAACGAGATATTACACTTTTAGTCATGGTTAGTGTGTCAGATGTAGTATTTCGAATTTATTATCCAGGCAAGTCAGATAGTTAAATCTTCCTTCCCGTTGAGTGTGTTAATGTTCAGCGGTTCATTTATCCGTCTTTCTTAGTAATTTGAAAATCCTTTTTGAATAGTTTTGATATTTTCAGCGTCAATTTTGTGGCTATGAAAGATAACAGATAACAGCAATTTAGGATTTGATTTATGAATTCTCCAGCTCAACAGGATTATTCGGGGGTCGTTTTGTGTAGATTACATTTCTTTAGCACGAATGAAGATATCACACGATGATTCCTCCATATATTAAGCGTCATAATCGACACAGACTAACTTGTAGAAGCAATCCGGCGAGGAAAACGTACAAAGAATTCTACCTTTTATCTGAACTAAAGCATTAACTAATAGTGTTGTTTGTCTTGTAAGGTGCTCAAATTCGGCCCTATTTTTAGGAGCCTTAGTAACTTTCAGTTGTACTTGGCAGGAATGTAGAGCTTTTCTACTTATTTAAAATTCATATTTGATTTCTTCTTTGGATTCCTTTGCTTATGGTTTTTAATCTTCTCAGCAAAACTTTCGGCGTGTTTATTATAATATAAAACATCTAATATGCTTACTATTTCAGTTTGTCTTTCTTCTTCATACGCAACGAACTTTGTGGCTCTCCTGAACAAGTTCAGAGCAAGTGAAAGCTTAGCACTCCATGGATATGCTGAATTGGGATGAAATTTTCTACTTTTATATTACCTGAAGGTAGATGACAAGATTAGGTTTCAATTTCTTCCCTTTAAATTAAAAACAGTCGAAAAAATGGTAGTTCACCACTTTCATTTCCTATCCACATGTGAATTCAATCTGTAAAGATTGAGTATTTATTGATTTCGAAAAAGTCTCCAGGGCTTGTCGTTTTAAAACTACAAGTATATCACATGCATAGCTAAGAGAAATACGTGATTGGATAGAGTAGGGACGATTATGGATTCAATAAAAGACATGAAGAGATTTCCATGGATAAACGTTGTAAGAGGGCACATTGCCACTCTATTTTCTTGTTTATATAACTTTGAATTTGACACTTTTCACGTCCGTAGTTGTCGTTCTGACCGATGTCAGTAACCGTCAATCTCAGATCAGTTGATATTTATTTGAAAGAAACCGAGTAATTGATTTGAGAATCAAGATTTCAGTCAAGACGGTACCACTCAGCAATTTCAACTTATTTATTGGTTGAAACATTTTTCCCTCTTACTTTGTTATTTACTTATTCTTCTACAGCTAACCAATGACATGTCTGATAAATAGGTAACAGTTTCATTATCGGATACACCAATAGTAGGTCGGAGGACAGTTGTTCCCCATTTTGGTTACCATTCTGTTTATAACCTTTGGACACTTGTCTCTGCACGCTATGAGACGCAAATTATAGCCTCGTTATCAGTTTCACCCATGTCAATTTTTGACACCACAGTAAATAACTTTACTTTCAGTTGCTATTTACTGTTCAACGTAGAGTTTCTGTAATGCAATCAGCAATGCATCTTTGTTATCAAGTTAGTCAATTTTCTGGACTGTCTTCAGTTACTTTCAAGTATTCATGTCAGATGAAGTGCTCATAGATTAGCTGAATAAATGTGTATCTAAAAGTAAAATAGGCGTACAATAAACT